AATGGGCAGTCATACCCGTAAGAACGATCAGAAACCTAAATGGGAGTATGAGAAGGCGCTGCCAAGCTCGCATTGATAGTCACGGGTCACACATACGGTATTAAGTCTAAAACTGTAAACATAAAAAATCAATTTAACAAATTTCGAAAACACGCTGCATGTTCAGAAATCTTCAATGAGGAGGGTCATCCTCTTCTTTAGCACAAAATCAGTGTAAAACTCATTTATAAGGTTAAATTCATCCTTAAATTCCTTAAATAAAATTCTATGAAAGTTCTTAGAATTTAGTCTGACAATCTTGTTTCTCTGGCTCGCGTTTGATATCTAATGCTGCAGGCATATTTAAAATATGCTTGACAATTCCAACTGACACAAAATGATTTATATTTACAGTATTTTAGAGGTAGTATGTGAAAATACATTAATCTAGTAGTATTATTAAAGTACTACTGTAACGCGGATCGATGTATCAAAATTAAGTTGAAGCGCGTTATTTTAAAATTTCCCTCGAATCATATCTTAAATGCCCAAATCAATGAAGATCTCAAACAGAATCTTAATAGATCAAACGATTTATTAGAAAGATATCTAGATGATTTTGCTTTATTTTCTACTATTAAGACGTGTTATATTGATATTATTTTATTATAAAAGCCCGCATTGTACAAACATCCGTCTTCAGCCGGAACCATCAAGTCCCTAAGTTTATAGATTGTGGATTGTTTGAGTCATATAGCAATCAACAAAAGCCAATTGTTTGCTCTCCGTCGTAGAATGTTTACATAAATAATGTTAAGGCTTTACCAGGAATTTCGTATTTCCTGGAAATAAGAGGATTACAAAAGGAATCACATGTGCCAGCTTACCAGACGATTGGCCTAATAAGGATAATTTAAGATTAAAACAAACAATCATGTGGAGATATCTATGCGACAAGCCCAAATCTGAAATATGACTCATAATTCGGATTTTATTTTTTTTTCCTTATAAAGTCGAGTAACATACTAAGTATTCGCAACATGATATCTCATATCTCACTGTATTTCCTCAAACCATCCTTACCAAATGAGAAGTTGAAATAAGAGTTTTTAAATGTGACTGAAGCACATATTGAAACTTTTTATTGAGAACCGATTGTATGATAATTATATTTGTAATAAGTGTACACTGAAAAATTTCCTCATTTCGTACTTTTTTGTACCAGTAACATCTAAATATTTCACGCATAATTTTATTTGAATAAATGATTTAACAAATTAAAAATGTTTTAGGCCTTTAAGTACCTTAACTATAAGATGCCTATGTATTTTCTATTTTCATCATAATCTAACAACAGTTCGATGGCCATAAGCACACTTCGGACAGCCCAATCAGAACTACTCTTTTCCCTTAGGTTCATGTTCGTCGTAGAGAAGACATAAGACATTCGCAAAAGATAAGGAGCTTGGCTAAATTTTTCACCAAGGACACATTGACTGGTTGAGATACGAGTGTCTTTATGTACAAATAGGACTAAACTACCCCTTCGTCGATGGAGAGTAAACCCTTTTTCACAATCTACGATTCAGCTGTCGATGTCCTGACTGAAGCCGAGGGAAGTGACCCTATAATGTAGCAGGGACAACAAGGAATGGTACTTGGGTACGTGAGCACCTAAAACGAAGAGACGGCTTGACCGTTCAGCCATTTTCAGGGCTTACCTCCTTCTCTGGTCACTGGTTACCGTACGTTTAGTAACTGTATTTGAATATATAGTTAATTATAACGGGTATGTATCAATATGTATATATGAAGATAGTGGCTGCTTTATTATAACAATAAATAGAAATAAATAAATAAATAAATAATTCAATGAAAATAAATAAATAAAAAATTAACGACATCAAATAATAAACACACATTTTATTATGCAATAAAAGTCTATTTGACACATCAGGAAAACCACCTTTAACTTTTTATGACAGAGTCAATGTCAATGAGATTCAAATATTGTGTTATAAATCAATTAAAACAAATGTCTCTCAGTCATTTCAGTCAATATAAGTCACTTACTCGTAGAATTATAACTTGTACCTAGCAGCAGAGTTCATCACTGATAGTTTATGTCGCAGAAAGAAAGAGAATTTCTGATTGGCTAGACTCCCGAGCGTATTGTTACAATGTCACAACACTGATCAAGTATTGCACGTGTAATAAATCTTAACAATAATAGTTAACGTATTTGCTCTGCCCCAACTTGATAACATTTAGACTTTGTTTAAACAAAGTGTTACATGACATCAAAACAACAGGCATAATAGAAAACTTGTCTGGAACTTATCTCTGACAAAGAGTCAAGGACTTCACTCACTACAACCACTTCACTTGAATGGACTATGTTCACTTGCAGTAGATCACATTTGAAATTCTCTTTTGTTTGTTATAACGAATAATTATTAATATATTCTGTTAATTATTAAATTGGTGTACAAGAATTAATGGTTTACATTTATTTCAGTTACCTTCAGTTCATTCTAATAAATAACACATGCCATTATTTATTCAAATGTCAAGCATGTTTATCATCTATGAGTGCACATATTAAATTGCACTTGTATCATTCTTTAATTGAGCCGCGTCACGACAAAACCATCATAATAGGTTTGCGACCAGCATGGGTCCAGACCAGCCTGCGCATCCGCGCAGTCTGATCAGGATCCATGCTGTTCGCTTACCAACTCTATTACAAGTAGAGAAACTGATAGCGAACAGCATGGATCCTGATCAGACTGTGCGAATGCGCAGGCTGGTCTGGATTCATGCTGGTCGCAAACCCATTATGTTGGTTTTGTCGTGACGCGTCAATTATATAAAGATGAATTATCGCTTTGGCAAAGTAGGATTTTAGTGAAATTAATTGATTAAAATTGAATGAAAACTCTATGATTATTTTTATTTGATTTGTCAATTGTTTGTTTTGTTTTATATTCTTATTTCAGTTTGGCATTCTAATTGTACGATTAACATGTAACTATTGTCGTATCACTAGTTCCTATCATTTCACTCCATAAAATTGACATGATTATGTTCAAAAGTGATTAACCAGAAAATGTTAATTATAATCATGGTAGGGACCTAAATATCTCATTGCTTGATTTTATTCGTTGAGCACATGACCAAATGATGACATCATGCATTATCATTTTGCCCCGTTTATCATGAACATGTGTTTAATCTCGTTACATTATGGAATTAGTGCTGAAAAATGAATAACAAGAAATGTTTTAAACACTTTTGGATATACATCATATACCCTTTTACTTTAGTGTAACATTTTTACGCTTTATGTTTTATATAAACTATTTAGAAGTTGACGTTAGAGAAACATACACTTTCCTAGGACATTAAACCAGGTAGTTTAACTATACAAAATATATTTCGTCTAAGGTCTTTTGTTTAACATTTATCTTATACATGTATATATAAAATCAAATAAAAAATGCACAATAACTACTACAGATTATCGTAGAGAAGACATAGGTCATTATTATTTGTTTTACTTTAGATGGCGAAGCGCACTTAGTAAAAAATGTTCAGCCTGACTTTGAAATAATGAATGACTTTCAATAAATTTTGTAAAGAACACAAAAATAAATATAAATAGGGCGTTGTGTATTTTAAGCCCGAGTTAAAATGTACACATTGATTTTTTTATATGGAAATGTAGGCGATACAAATTAACATAAGCTAGAATTTCTTATTGAAATCATCGCTCTGGCCTCTATTATATCAACATGGCAAATACATTTGTATTAAACTATATTTTGCCTATTGTTGTCACCGTTTTTCCAAATCAAACATATCAAATACATGACTGACCTATATAAAAGATTGTCAGTTTTAGATTGTCGTAACATATTGCTAACATACATTCAATTTAAAGCTTTTCGTGTGACATAGAACCAAGTTTATCTTAATGGCCAATGCCTTCATTTCCCATAAAGACCTGTGCTAGTATATTTTCAACGTACATAGTTTTATTACTATTTAAAGACACTTTTTATTCACAATTATTTTACTTCCACGTTAATATCTCTCGCAGATATGTTCAATTTCATTATGATTTTCAAGTATATCAACAAAACAGAATATGTTTTCACATTTTTGCATATTACTAAATGATATATTTTGTAATGGCATATCTATTAGTGACGCCTATGCTTTTATACAAATACACACTTCCATTGTTGTTGTTTTTTCAATTTTAAGATGTAGGGAGTTTTGATAATTTTTTGACGAGCTATTCAATTTTGAATTTAATCATGACACTGAACTGTGAAGGAAATAATTAGCTGGTAAATATGCCTTGTGAGCAAAAAATAAGTGTTGGTTACTAAGTGTGTAGCAGATAGTGTAGAAGGTGAGAAGAAAGGTCAGCAAGGCAAGACGACGTTCACAGAACGCAGCCCCCCCCCCCCCTTCCCCCCTGACACAAACCAGCCACATCAGCAGGGCACCAGAACAGTTCTTAGTCACAAAGGGCAAAGGGTTCATTGACTCCGCTGACTCTCAATAGTATTTGAATATTGTAACTTACTAAGGAATGTATACATAGAATTAAATTCTTCTTATGTTATATATCCGAAGAAGTTTCACCTTGAATTTACAAACGGAACATCACCCTTATTCTTCAAAGATGGATTACTAAAAATACATTTAAGTTAATAGATTTAAAGCTTCATAAAACATGCATGTGACAGAACAGACCTACACACAAACTTGGGTTATATGTGTAAAATCATGCTAGTATTTTAGACTTTCTTTCGTATAATTTCGACCATCTTAAAAATCAACGAACGTGGCAATACATTTATATTTTGTAGATTGAATGTATGACTTTGCAATGTCAAAGTGCATTTTTCAGATCAGACATGTTCTTATTACCTCGTCCATTTTAACTAGGCCTGTTCCTTTCATCCAAAAATAGTACCTTATCAAATTAATGACCCTCTGACAATAAAAAGGTTCAACTTGTGCACGATTTCGTTACTTTATAAACGAATTCTGTAATCTTATCGCCGCATATAACATAAACTGGATTCACAAAATCACGATGAAAATTGCTCTTTTATGTACGGTTTTTGTAGCTGTATTTGGTGGGTAACTTTAATCATAATTATGATATTTTCATTGTACATTTATGTGTATATATTATCAAAAGATAGTCGTACTTTTCTTATTTTTGCCATATTTACAAGAGACATGACGTGATATGGTTGCACACTTAGTTCAAGCAAGCGAAACGATTGCTAATTTGACAGAATGGTGTAATAAAAGTCACGGGGGAGGAAGTGTTACACGAAGGATGGAGTTCTTATGATAACTTGTTTGGAGTTCTTATGATAACTGTCACGGAGTTCCTGGAAAACGTTACGGATTTCTGTGGAAAACTTTTCTATATACTTTGAGAACTCACGTAAAAATGGTCATTTTTACCTTTACATGGGGAGTTTGAGGTGCTAAATTAAACTTTAATTAAGCTTGCCCTACGTATTATATTATGTTGCAGAAAAACCTTTTAGTCCATTTCCCATCGTCTTTTTAACAAAAAATTGGTATTTTTGAATAAAATTTCCAAATTACTAGCTCATTCGTACATATTGACCTTTTTATTTGTGATCTCCTTCGTTGCTATACTTAATTACCTAATGATAATGGAGAGTTATAAACATAGCCCAGGCTAATAAATTTATACCCGATTTTTCAAATGTCACGGAGTTCTTGTGATAACCCAAAATATGTCCTGGAGTTCTTATGATAACTTTTGTTACTGCCAGTGTGTTTCTTGTGCTTAATTACGGTACGTTTACGCGTATTTTATTATTCAATAAGTGTATAAATTATCATGAAACTTTATACTCTCAGCCTAACACAAAAATAGACATGCATATCGTTATTATGATGACAAAGTAAAGTTAATAGCTTGGTGTGCACGTAAATTTTAGGGTAACTGTCATTTTTTTCAGGATTCGGCTGTCAGAAAACCCCAAATCTTTTAAGAATAGATTGAACATGAAACTGCTTTGGTGTGCAGGATAAACAGGTGAATTATGTGCTATCTTCAGGAAAACCTTAACCAGCGGTCACCTGTATTCATCAGTAACATGGCTTAAACCTCCAAGCAAAAAATGTTAAAAAATTAAACTTTTTTCTCAGTTACATGTTTTAAGCAATCGCCTTTCTTAAGCAGACAACATATAGTTGGGCTTTCCTCAAGAATCGGCTAAGTAATTTGTATCATTTTATACCATAAACAACAAGTAAATATCTGGGATACCCTTCACACCCATGCACCCGAAATGTATGATCTTTTTAAACATAAAAAATCAACCGATTACTATCGATCTCTTCAACAGATTTGCACGTGCCCTACGGGTTGGAGCGAAAGAAGTTCGACAATATATTTTTGTTATCAATTACAGAAAAAGTTTCCACAAATAGGATTATTTAGGGGGAATGCCCGAAGGACTCTCAACTTTGATAAGAAAAGTGTATGCAATAATTTTCCGCAATATGGAGATTTCTGTACGTCACGTGATGCTTCATTAGATTTAATAGAGAAAGAAACGGCATGAACCTTATGGTGACTCACATAATATTATTAAAGACTTACTTTCTATTGTCATATCATTTTCATAGAACTTTATACGTTTCTATGACAAAATTGATACCTTTTAGAAATTAAGATATCCATTGAATACCTAAAGATGACACCAACCTCTTTTAATTTAGATAAAGGTAGTGCATACTACTTCCTATTTTGCTGCAAACCATTTACATGTAATTTGTTTCGGCAGATCGATAGCATAATTACTTAATGTTCTCTAAAACTGCCAGGAATAATGTATACATGAAGAAATCATGCTTAAATATTAAATGCAAAACGTACTTTTATCCTGTAAGTAAATGCTCTAACTCAAGTATGTTTTCAGTCATTCCAATAAAATAATAAAAAAAAACACACAAACAAACACAAAAAAAACCCACACGAAACGGGGTAAGAAAATATCTCTTGAACTGAAATACGCTCAAAGTAAACGTTATATAACCCAATTTTTGTGCAAATGATACGCGTACTATGCTTCATAATGATTTACACACTTATTGACTAATAAACTACGCTTAAATGTGCCGTAATTAAGCACAAGAAACACACTGGCAGTAACAAAAGTTATCATAAGAACTCCAGGACATATTTTGAGTTATCACAAGAACTTCGTGACATTTAAAAAATCGGGTATAAATTTATTAGCCCGGGCTTAATGTTTGCAACTATGCATTATAATTATGTATTTATGTATAGCAACGAAGGAGATCACAAATGAAAAGGTCAATATGTACGAATGAGAGGTAATTTGGAAATTTTACTCAAAACTACCAAATTTTTTTTAAAAAAAGGCGTTGAAAAATGGACTAAAAGGTTTTTCTGAAATATTATACAATATGTAGGGCAAGCTTAATTATCAAAGTTTAATTTAGCACCTCAAACTCCCCTTTTAAAGGTAAAAATGACCATTTTTACATGAGTTCTCCAAGTATATAGAAAAGCTTTCCACAGAAATCCGTAACGTTTTCCAGGAACTCCGTGAAAGTTATCATAAGAACTCCAAACAAGTTATCATAAGAACTCCATCCTTCGTGTAAATCTTCCTCCCCCGTGAAAGTCGAGGATTAGAAAAAAATGAATGGAAAAAACGACCAGAATGGTCCAATCTAAAATATGTACATGACCAGTTTATATCTTGAATAACCCCGTCAAATCAGAAGCTAGGAGACTGAAATCTTAAACCGAGTATATCATACGGAGATCTTCGATAATTTTGAAAAGTTTGCAAGTATTTCGTTCGCTTGAAGTGTGTACTGAGTTTTGATTTTTATAAGTTTTAGGCTACCGAAGTTCACCGGATTTTGAAAAATGAATATAAGGATAACGTTTTTATGGCTCAAACATTTCATCCCCAATATATATGGGAATGTTGTGTAGTGGTTAGCATACTGGACCTGCAATACAGAAACCCCTGGTTCGCTTCCCGGCTGCTGCGTGCCAATTTTTCTTGTAGGTTTTTCTGTGTATGATTTTCCGTTCATGGTTTTCTTTCTTTCATTCATTCTTTTTTTCTTTCATTCATTCATTCTTTCTTCCTTTCTTTCTTTCTTTTTTTCTTTCTTTCTTTCTTTCTTTCTTTCTTTCTTTCTTTCTTTCTTTTGTAAAGAAACCACAGGAATCATGTAAAATATGTTAATTAAGAATATAATTTATGTTCTAACTTTTTTTCTTAAATGGTTATTCATTTTAGCTTTCATCGGCGCTGAGCAATGCTCTTCAAATAGTGCTTGTCATCACGTGACGTGTCCAGAAAATGACTACAATGTGGAATGTCATTTATTCTCGTGTACCTGCACACATGGTAAGTAAATAGAGTATATTCAAGTTTCTTCTTTTAATACAGGATTTATTTTCATCGAGTAGTATGAAAATAAATACAATGTAAATAGTTGCCACGAGTGAAATATGATAATTTTCATTCGAAATTACATTTTATACGAAAATAAATCCTGTATTAATAGAAAAATCTTGAATTTTCTGTAATATACTTTTTCTCTTTTTTAAGCTTATGAATAGGATGAATTCCCTTTTAATTTTGTGTATTGGATGAATTTAGAAGAATGTAGTCCGGCAAGAAACCATTGAAAATGTTTCACTGCAGTAAAAATTATATTTTTTACAGTGTTTTTAAAATACGGAAAATAAAAGTACGCATTTTATTTCATCAATATTTATCAATATTTCATTTATAAGTATGTAATAAAACAAATATATTTACTAAGAAGTAAATTTTCTTAGACTGTTTGTGTTGTGTATTCTTTGAATAGAAATTGAAAAATTCAAATGAACCAATTTACAATTAAAATTTTGTTAAATTATAACATTTGAAAAAGTCTGTTTTTATCAAATTTATATTGTATTTTTAATAAGGCGATCTCAATGTATCTCAATTTGGTATGGCACATTAAATATCAGACAACATGTCTACATAACCTGTACATGGATTGTTTTTGAAAAATATACTCAATGGGTTATTCTGCTAACATTTTTCGTTTGATATATGTAACAGAACGTTGCAAATTTACCTATCAACTATATTTCATAACTCATATCATAACATATCTTCTCCTGAACGCTATATTCTAATTATTTTGTTAGATGTCCCATATATCAATGCTCGGATAATTTCAGTCAGCTTCTTTTCCCTGATACTCATTTATATTATTTTTGAGTTGTCAAAATGATTGTTACCTTGCTTTATATTTATAATAATTCTTGAATTATCATAACACTTTTATTTCGCAAAGTATAACAAAATCTGCTATTTAATTTTGCATATTTTACTTCAATCAATAACGAAAAATCTGTGTATTTAAGTCGCACAAACATGTTCCGACGCGAGTGATTGCCATGACGACAACTGTCACCGTAGCGTCCATTGCATAGACGGCGCGTGTAGATGCGGATATGGGATACTGCCAAGTGGTGGAGGTTTCCCCGGCAAATAGAGTGACATCATGTGTTCTATGTTTAATAAACTATATAGACTTTAAATTAGTTATTTATTCTTACACTTCATACTTTAATTTAAAGCGGTGTAGTTTTGGGCCCAGGGACACGTGGTTGTATAGAAGACCAGTCATTGTCAAAAGAATAAAGAATATGTATATTTTAGATAAAATAATACATTTTTAATAACATTCATTCATTGCCCACATGCCATTTTGAGGAATAGTAGCAACTAAAAAGCAAGATTTAAAATCACATTCATCGACAGAAAATAAAATGAATTTATATCAATTGTGGTTTTACAAAGGTGAGAAGGGTAATAACTATTGTACTAAATTAAGGTGTAATAATCATTGTACTTAAAGGTATTGCCTTTTTTCCAGTTTTGTTATTGCTGTGATAGTCTATCAAAAGTTTGGTTAATGTGAATCTTGCTATCATTACACAAGGAATCGTGCTGTAGATACCACACTTTTACATGGTCATTGCCATTTAGGTTCAGCAAAGTCAACTGAAAACAACAAATGAAATGTAAATTGAACGCTGGCTCTTTCACATTTTGATGATCTGTTTGAATGACAGTCATCGACACATCTGTTGTACAGCATTCGACCAAAACAAAACTGAAAAAGGGAAACACAGTTTCTAAAAGTATTATTTTTTAAAGAACATGTTTGTTTTTCAAAAATCGCAGAATAATAGTACACGTCGAACGATTTTCTTATCATTTTTGATGCACATTTGATAAGAAATACCCAAAAATGGCTTTTTAGAACTTTTACCAAACATCAACTCATGTGCTTTCTTTCTTAGAGAGACACATCTTGAGCGATTTCTGAAGTTAAATTTGACCCACGTAATCGTGCATGTAACATTGTCTCCTCGCGAAAGAAATCACGCAATCTAATATTTGGTAAAAGTTCCAGCAACGTCATTATAGGGTATTTCATGTCGAAATTGCGTCCAAAATGATGAGAAAAAAATGTTATGTGCGGCATAGCATTTTTTTTGATTTATTTGAAAATCAAGCATGTTCTTTAAAAATGCATACATCTTTTGAAACTTTGTTTATCTTTTTCATCTTTGTTTTGGCCGAGGGCTTCAATAACGGAATTGTGATGGATATCTTTTTTGACAGATCACCAAAGTGTGCCAGCGTTTAGTAGTATCAATTCATTGAATTATATTGAAAGGAGTCCCTTTACTTTATACCAAAATCCGATTATGACAGAGTTACAACAGTTGTTTTGTGTGATTATTAAATTTTCTTTCACTAGCGCTATATCCATTTTCTTGTATATTTTCATATTCGTTTTTCTTAGTTACTCGAAATACATGTTATGTCATGTTCACCATTACCCAAATTAATACTTGTTGAGTTTGGTTTAAAGGTGCATGGATAGATTGAAATCAATTTACACAATTAATACAAATGGTTTCCGCCGTGATGATTGTCGAGCACGGGAATAAGGTCCGTTACTACAAGGTCAAAGTCACAGACTAGTTCTCTTAAAAATCCGTTATCTGTAATAAAGTCTGTTTTCATTGAAGTTTTAGTACAACAAATGTTAAGACTGCAAGCAAGTTCTCTTGACGACTGTTCACCAGAACTGTTTAGTTCCATCAAACATATTGTTTGACTAAACATATTTTGGAGAACAGTTTTAAAATCGTGATTTGCTAACTACATGGAAAATCGATACAAAGGGCTTGACAACGACGACAGGAAGACAACAATTTGTGAGCTCACCTAGTTCATATAGGTCTCATATTTATTAAAAGAGTGTTACTGTGGATATTAACAGTGGTCTCTTTATAATTTGTTGTGCTAATTTTGAATTTCACCTGATACATAAACAGTTTCTTTTTTTATCCATTTAGAGCTGAACCATTGCGGTCAAATCTTACTACTTGCTTATTTGAACGTACTATGTTAAAAGGGTTTACTGGCTGTAGAAATAATCGAAAAACAGTTTACCTGTGATTTAAAAAATACATTTCAAAAAAGAAACCGTTGTCTCCGTAAATTCGAAGGTAAATAGTTTTTATTAATTTTACATATATTTCAGACCATTGATTGCCAATATGAATGAGTACATGTTTTACGTATAGTGTGTACATATTTTAAGTCCGCCAAACATGCCGAAGAGGTTGGCCACGGTATTGTTAAGATTATTCATTGTAAAATAAACATATAACAAAAAAAAAAGACATTGCTTAAACATTTATTCCGTGTATATACAATATAAATGATGTAATTTAAAGAACGCAAATGTAGGTTTTACATATTTATTTACAAATGAAACAATGACATGACATTATTTTCCGACCCCGCCGATGGGAAAACCACCTCCAAAGCCGAATCCACATCGACATCTGCCGTCTATACAGTGCCAGGTTCGATGACAGTTATCATCATGACATGTACTCGTGTCAGTGGTACACTGTTGTTGGACTAAAACAAAGATAGGTCGGCTTTTATAAATACATAAAAAATTTCTTTAAATAAATAATCCTATGGCACAGTAGAGATGTTAAAATGTTCTCTATAGCAATGTTTAGATGAAGGCAAAACCCTCTTTGTTCTATTACCATCACCTTTTACTTTCCTTTCTCAAAACTTCTCCTCTGATCTCAACAGTTCCACCCTTTTTATACTTAATGAATAGGAGTTTGCTTTTACAGTGCGTGTATAGAGTTAGCTTCTTTTACTTTTGATGCAAACATATTTACCGAAAACAGGTATTGTCTAAACAGCAATATAAATAGCACTTATGATCTGTAACAGAAAACAAAAAAAATCTCACTAACCATGAGTGCAGGTACACTGACGATTGTGGCAGTCGAGAACATAATCCTTTTCTGGGCATGTCACGTGACCACAGTCGCCGGTAGAACGACATTCTTCAGCGGAAATGAGTGCTGAAAATGTCATTTTTATATAAAAGAGAGATCAATAACACATATCATTGTAGTTAAATGATTAACAGATTTGAAGAGTTAGCTTAATAATAGCAGTAACATTTTGAAAAGAGAAAGCAATATTGCTCCACATGATGTTTTTACTGCAATCAAAGCATTTGATTATCTTTGCAAGAACATGACGAAACAGTACGTAATACGAGACAGTTATGTCCATTTACATTGGAAATACATGTACATATTCAATAGATATCAATTTTGAGTTTGTTGTAGAAGAAATGCACGGTTCTAATTCAAATACGTAATGATAATTATAAGGAATGTCGGTAGTCCTGAGTGATTAATTATTTATAAAGCTTTTGGATGATAAACCATGAATTATTGTTTTATGTTCAATGCAGGAAAATTCCATTTTAAAATGCTAATAGAAAGAAAATTGATGAAAAATATGTTGAACTTCATTAAGCGGCGAAGTAATTTTCACATGTAAGTATTTCTTTTCTGATGCCATGCATATATCGTACAATTATACGCTTGTCTGCTCTGAGAATAGATTGAAGTGGTAATAAAGTTTCCTTTTAAAAGGAAAGGCTTGCTCAGTTGTGCCATCATCCCTTCCCTTTACATTTTTTTTGTTCACATTTTTTTTTGAATTACGGCATTTGTATATCATAAAGGGTTTCTTTAGTTTTTTTTCTCGAAAAAAAGTTTCACTTTTAAAGGGATAGGTAGGGTAAGCCCAAGACTGGACGAGCACCTGTGCCCATTTGTTTGAGCACCAGTGTTATATGCGTGCAAATTTGGACCAAAAAGGGACCAGAAGTCCACTGATTATAACTGAACGGGAACATGCTGACGATAACAGTAGCAACTTTTTTTGTAAAAACGAATATTTTTTTGTCAAAAACGATTCGAAATCTATTCTCTATTGTATAAAACTAATAAAGAAAATAATCAATCGTAAAAATACTAACATTGGCTCTCACGTGGAGATCAATCTATCATACCGAAGGGAAACAAGTGTGAACATTTCATTTCCACTTTTTTCGCAGAGAGAGTCATTCGTTTTGGCAGTTGCTAATTTCATTTATATAGCAGCTTTAGAGACAAGTAAATGCACTAAAAGACTTCGTTACGCTGTACCAATTAATAAGCATGTATCAACTATGTTACACCTTTAGATCGACAACACAGGAGATCATCACGTGGTAAGGTTAATGATATGCAATGTTATGTTAGATTACCTCACCAAGACCTTTAAACTCTGTCAGTAGATCTAAATATAACTTGATCATGCACTAATATTCTGCGTGATTCGGTCACGATCTTTTGGTAAGCAGGACCGCCCTTTGGAGACGGAATACTACTACAGTAACCATTCTCTATTGTATAAAAATAATAAAGACAAAAACCAATTATAAAAGAAACTAACTTTTGCGTCTTGAAAAAGAATTGAAACGGAATCAAGTAAAAATAGAAATCATATTTTTTACCGAAGTAACTAAAATAGCTTAGATTTCCGTAATATTTCTTCGTCTGATTCCGCAGTATGACGGAATCGCCCGAATTGTCACGATTGCAATCGGAACTACCTCGGCTAATATCATTAATCCGAAGAGTGACGGAAAGGGCCGAAAAGTTGCGATTTGCATGATTGCAGCTGGGTTCCCGTTCCATCATGCACTAACAAATGTAAGCCGGAAACCACCTCACCGGAACAACTAATCCAAAACAAATGGCTTGCAGCCGTGGCTGCAAGCCAAAAAAATAGAATAGAATAGAATAGAATCCAATAGAATACAATCTTATGTTTTACCTAATCGGGAATAAGTCCCAGAAATTCAACAATACATAAAATATCTAAACAAATATTTAGTGATAACATCATTTAATGCGATCTATCTAATTGAACACGCAAATAATAAATTTTGTTACTTAACGTGAATTTGTCTACAATGGACACATTTTCAATAAGTATCTTAAATATAATAAAATTAACAAAAATCTATGATTTGGATTGAATATTTCTTTAAAGAATAATGTTGGTAGTGTTTTAAGTTATTTAGTATGAACAATTATATTTTTAGTAATAAGGTTTTGTTCTAGATAAATTTTATATTTACTATTTATAGATAAGTCCTATCCGACCACGTATCTTACACTTAACAACTTTTTTTTACTTTTTATTACAAATGACTGAGTATACTCACCAAATACCGCTACAAAAACAACACAGAACAGAGCTATTTTCATTGTTACTGTAAGTGACCAGTAGAAAGTAACTGAAAAAATGATCTCAAAATTCCTTTATAAGTTAAGAAATCGTGAATAATGTGCACGATTTACTGTATGCAGGTCATTTAAATCTGATAATGATTGAAATTTAGGTTGAAGATATCATGTAATTTCAAAATGAGTTTTGACCGATTAATATACTGAACTCCTGTACACGTTCTTCGTCTCGTCTACGTCTCTTTCCCATCAGTCCAAGGGTAATATTTCTTAAATTATAAGTGTAAAACGTGGACTTGAAAATCAAAAATCAATCAAGAAAAGCCACCCCCCCCCCCCCCCAAAAAAAAATTACACAAAAAATACACAAAAAAACAAACAAACAAAAAACTAAGCGACTCTTCAGCACACATGCGAACTAGCACTCTGCAAGAGTCCACCATGGACTGACAAAGACATTTACGGTCTAATTCATAAAACTTTAATTTGACATGAGCAATTTTCAATTTTAAAAGTCTGCATGAAATTCCGGCTATCTCGACCAAATTGTTACTTTTTTACAGTCTTGGTTTAATCAAGCCTGTCCATAAATGTCAGTGTGAAAATAAACCTGACACAGGCTTAAACAAGTAAATGGTTTTAAATTTAAAATTCCTAATCAACAACATCTACAAAACATGTAGCGTTAGTGACAGCCTCTTGTTTTTAGGCCTTAAAAGTTTTGGAAAAAGAAAAACCCATAAGCACTTGTAATTGGAGACTACGTTTATATGATCGCCGTTGAAGGTTCACTTTAAAGATATTTAATTATATGGAACGCCATAGCTGCCTCATGTTGTTACATTTCGTTTTATTTTCCCCTAAAAGCATCTTATTACGTATAATTGAAGTGTTGGCTTGCCAACGTTTTATGAAAACCTGTCTTAACGAAGTCTTATTATAGGTCAAATATTCATTTTCTCTTGTCAAAACGTAGTGCTCACTTGTCTAAACACTGTCTTATTATTTCAAAACGTCATGTTATCATGTGCAAACCCGGTGTTAACATGCCGAATGGAAGTCTTAATATGTCTAACATGCACGCCATCCTTTCGAATTAAGATTTCAATATGTCTGAACACAGACTTGTTAAAATGTGGTGTTGAATTGTCTTGAAATTGTCTTATTATGTGAAACAGTAGTGTTATCTTGTCGGAAGTTGGTGTCATCTTGTCCAAAAGTGATCATGGTATGTTATGACACTATTGTATTATGTTATACTATCGTTGTCCTGTCCAAATGTGGTATTGACTTGTCTAATCACCGTCACATTTTGTATGACTGCCATGTCATTGTGTTAAAATTCGGTGTTATCTTGTTAAGAAAATGCCTTTTATGTCAAAATAGCATGCTGTCTTGTCCAACTGTGGTGGTAATTTGTCTAGAAATTGTCTTATTATGTGAAACAGTAGTGTTATCTTGTCGGAACTTGGTGTCAACTTGTCAAACTCATGTCTTATTATGTCGGCTAGTAGTGATATCTTGTTCAACCGTTATATTGACCTGGCTGAGTGCTGTCCTGTTTTGTCAAACTATTATGTTGCTTTGTATGAGGTGGTGTTATTCTGTCTTATTTTGCGAAAACATCATGCTTTCTTGTCTAAAACTGTTGTTATCCTGTCTATAAAAATCCTTATTATGTTTAATACTAATGTTGACTTGCCAATAAATTTTGTTTGTTTGTATTAACGTTATTTATTATGTCAAACAGTATTGTTGACTTGTCGAAAGATGGTATTGACATGTCTAAACACTTCTTATTCTCTCAGATCGCCATGCTATTTTATCCAAACTTTATGTTAACCGGCCTAAACACCGTTTTATTATGTGAAATAATGATGGTATCTTTACAAATTATGGTTATGCACTGTTAAAACGCTATTTTAATTTGTCAAACTGTCATGCTTGTGTGTCTAAATGCAGATTCAACTTGTTTATATTCGTCTTATTATGTCAAATAGTCATATCATCTTGTCGAAACGTGGTGATGACTTGTCTAAAATTACTATCTTTTTGTCAAAGTGTCATCTTATTTTGTCAAGGTTCGGTGTTATTTTTACTAAACATCGTCCTTTTATGGCGAGTATCATTTTTCCTTTTCAAATGTGGTGTTTACTTGTTGAAACACAGTATCAGTATGTAGTACAGTGGCGTTAACTTGCCAGTTTATGACGTTTACATGTCTAAATACCGTCTTATTATGTCAGATAATCGTGTTATCATGTCCAGATGCGATGTTGTCAAAATTTAGTATCATGTGACCAGAGTCCACGCGGAGCGTGAAAAGATAGAGCAAAAAAGATAAGGGGACAGTTCAGCAAAATCAGACAGCTTTTTCTCAAGACAGAACTAAATTTGAACAAATTAACACAATTATTAGACATAATAAGACTGTTTCTGTGCTTTACAAGAAAACATCAAATTTCGAAAATATAACACATCTGTTTTACATTATAAGCTTCCGTATAAGAAAGAGTTTAGACAAGTCATTACCACATTCGGCAAGATACCGCAATTTTTTGACTTTATAAGACTGAGTTTTAATCAGTCAAAACCGCTTTTTGACAAAATAGCATATAATAAGGCACGATTTAGCCCAGTCAACACCTCATTTCGGCAAGATAATTCGAATATTTGATATAAAATGTACGTTGGCAAATTAACACAGTTGTTTGACACAATAAAACAATGTTAAGGCATTTAAACACCGTATTTTGACAAAATTCCATGGCAGTCTGATAAAATAAAGCTGTGCTTTTACAAGTCAACACCAAATTACGACAAGAGAACACTACTGTTTCAAATGATCAGACAGTATTTTGACAAAACATCTCCACAATTTGACCAAATAGCGCGACTAGTTGACATAATATGACACATTTCAGACAAGACAAAACGACATTTTGACATGACAACACTACTGTTTGAAATAATTAAACAATGTTAACACAAGTCAACATCACATTTTAAAGAGATAAGACTACTATTACGCAAAATAAGGCGATGTTTAGATAAGTCGACACATTACAATGGCAGTACAACGCTTATATTTGACATAATAAGACGCTTTCTGGGCAAGATAAAAACAAATGTAATAACATGAGGCAGCTATGGCGTTCCATATAATTATGTCAAATCCTTTTATTTCTTTTATTTAAAAGAACAACCTGTATAAATCACTTTTTGAAATTACTAACAAACTTTCCTCCGTAACGAATTGGACCACTTGTGCATATGCAGATTTTACATAATATTACTTGGTAATTTTGTTAAATTCTTCATAAAATATGCCAAAAATTGTTATTAAAACAGAATTTTATATATCATTGGGCGCATAATGGAGTTACAATAAAGCAGTAATTGAAAATCTTATAAATGTATTTGTCTTTAAATGTCTCATTCTTCAAGATATGGTCACTTTATTAATGTAAAATGTGTAAATTGACTTGTAATGTGCAAGAATGTGTTTGTGTTTTAAATACATTTTGTCAGATAAAGAGATTTTGCCTATATATTTTGTGTACATGATTGCTTAACCTTTAACATGACAATGAGGTAGAGTATTTTATAAACGCTGATCATCAGGGCCCGATATAATTTACAACAGGATCATTAAAAAATCCAAAGAACTGTCTGTTCCTTTCTTTAACTTATTAAAATAATATCTTCGTGCATCTCTATATTCTCAAGAATTGGAAGAAACACATGGTTCTAAGTGACCAATCATTACTTGGAAATTAGAGTGCCATATCTATTCTATGTACAACCTGGAAGGTGTCTGAAATAATTGTTTTAAACACATTTATAACATATTTTCCGTCCGGATTCGTCCCCACAGAATCAAACTGTAAATCAGCTTACTTACTTGTATCATATATTTTTCCGGAGCAATAGGAAAGGAGGTCCGAGCAGGTTCTTTTGCGACATCAGTTAAGCTTTTGTCAAGGTTTGGCACACAGGTCTTACTGATAGGTTCTCCTCCTATATACCGGACTGAAATCACGGGGTCGTATTTTGAGGTGGAATTACATGAGAGCGGGTTGTATCCTCATATGTGAATTGATATTATTGTTGACGTAATGCCAGTATAAGTATGTTCGCCGATAATACCAGCTTTTATGGTCGAAGATCCAGTTACTGCAGCCGAAACAATGAAAACTGACTAACAGACAATTTCAAGACGGACTTCGAAGTAGCCCTAAGAGAATCGAATAAATCACACCATAAAAGACAACTTATGATACTATTAAACATTCCTTGATAAACGCCATCAATACTGATACTGATTGTTATTCTTCTTCTTCTATTGTCATCGTTGCAGGGATTACATATTTATCAATTGAAAATAATGATTTAAATTATATTCCAAGCTAGACAAAGTCAAATGTTTTAACTAAACCATTACATTTTTTTGAAATTACAGAAAGAATTATGTACGGTTTGAGAGATTCTAATAATGTGATATAATAAAGAGTACGTTATTTATTAGTTTATTATTTATGTAGTTTGTGTTTCCTTTGTATTATATGGGGTAAAGGAAACACAAACTACATAAATAATGTTTGTAAGTTACAAAAACGAATTGCTAAAATCATTTTACAGCAACCTCAAAGATCTCCGTCAATAAATCTATTCGAAACTCTTAATTGGTTACCGTTCCTTGACAGATGTAAATACCACACGGCGGTGCTTGTTTTTAAAACTTTAAATAACATGGCACCGACTTATATGACAGAACTGATGACTTTATCCGACAACAAAATATATAACTTAAGATCTAGGTCACGAAAAGATATTGTATTATGGACAAGACCTAAAACAAATTATATTAAAGACACATTTTCTTATTATGACATGAACATTTGGAACAATATACCTTTAAATATTCGTAATGTTAATAACCTTAATGTCTTAATATCTTGATGTTCATATGAATGAATGAGTGAGTGAATTAATGAATGAATAAATATATGAACGAACGAATGAACGAACGAACGAATGGTGCAATATACGTATATGTTTAAACAAATTGTTGAGTGTCTGTCGAAAGTATATGAGTTGTATTATTCTAAAAATTACATATTATACATTCATT